AGCATCATGTCCTCTGCAGATAAATCTCTATTCCATCATTTATGCCATTAATAACAATTTCAAACAGAAATTGACCCAAGACAGATTTCTGCAGATACTGCTTCATAACAACTTTACATCCTAATAATGAACAATTTGTAATATTTTCAATGGTGCAGTTTTATAACCAGTTTGGCATCCATCCTACAGCTGTTTCACAAAGAGCATGTTTTAACTTAACTTTTGAAAAACTCGGAAATTTTCTGTCTCTTCCTCCTCTGTTATTTTACTTTTTGTTTTTTTCCTGACCAAGTTTCTGGGGTTTGTATGCTTCTGTTATGTTATTGAGGTCAACAAAGAGCTCATGATTTAACCAAACTGGTCACATAATATGCTTCCGATCCTCTCTCCACTTTGGGATGATTTGTGTTTATGTTCTTTACTTGGGGTATTGCTGCCAATAATAGGAAAAAATTAACAGTCTCTTAGTTGCTTCTAGTTAACCGTTTTTTGTCTAATCCCAGTTTCTTTTATAAATGCAGCCTGCCATCCTGAGGCTCTCTTCATCCTGCCTCGTTATGGCAGATCCAGTTAGCTATTATTATCTTTTCATATCCTTTGCCATATATATTTATGCCAGGGTTAGGAAGGGAACTTTCAGCCTGTTGATATCCCCTTTTCCATCTCTCATTTCTTGAGAAAGCATTACAATCATCTTTTTTTTTTACCAAGCAGTTAAGTATTTAGTTCTCCTTCCCGCTTTGAAAAGAATGGTTTCAGGATACAAAATGCATGCTGCTGATATCTGGTATTAGCCTGGAACACACTACAAATCATCAAAGGCAAGCACAAACCTCAACAACATTTTTAGTTGTTTCCTGCTTCTAAATCTGGGACACTGTAACAGGCTTGCTAATAATTTGGTTTCCAATGATCCAGTGACACAGGCTAAGTGCAGACACTCACCACCTTCCAGGATGCACACAGCCCAGAAACCTTTGGATGACCCACACAGTGGAAGAACCAAACCACAGCAATAAGCTGCCTGAACCAACCCCAAATCAGTATCCCCCTTTTCCTCAAGGAGCTTCTGAACTGATCAGGAATAGGGTGTTGTCCTGCTCCATTAAAGGGTAGAGATGGAACCTTCTTTCTGTGGCAAGCTGACACTTGAAATGCGTGCAGAAATGGGTGCAAGATCAAGACCTAGAAAGTATGGAGAGAAATAGATAAGGATATAATATTGTACTACCAAACTCTGTGAGTCACTGATATACTGTTTAGAAAAGAGAAAACCTACAGGGCTTATTAGGAATTGGAAGGTGTATTTCTAGCTGTAGATTATAAACAGGTTCTATTAAAATTTATGAAAATATGTAAGTAAATAAATACAGAAATTTGAAAGTTTTCTTATTTATGATAAAGAAAATGGCATTGACAGCACATTTCAGTTGGACTCAAGAAAAAAATAGGACACTTGTATCCTCAGAAAGGGCCCAAAGCACATAAAATGTCCAACCTCCCTCTTTTCTGTGCTTTAACGGCTTTTAAACATTCGACCAGTTCCCACAGTCTTCGGTTTCCTCCTTCAGGACTCTCCCACAAGAAATGTCATTGTTATAGCCATTGCACATGAGCTCACTGACACCAGTTATTCATCAGTCAGTCCATCAGACCGATATGTTTTAAGGAAACTTTTCAGCATTACAGTGATATGTTGTTTCAGACAACCTTAAGACAAATTATTACAGGGATATGCTTTTAAAACTGTTGAGGGAAACCACCTAAATCCTACCTAAGCATTCAGCCCTCTAAATCGCTACCTATGTGTTGCTAAAATTGTTTGAATCTTCTTAAATAAGGACTGCTGTACAATCCCCAACACGTGCATGTTTTACAGAGCTTGCAAGCAGATAACGCACGTTTTGTATCACTAAAAATACTGTAGGTATAATATCACTGATTTTAAGATGACATACATTTTTAGACTAAATAGGTTTGTTTTATTTAAGTCTTCCTTTCAATGTATTACCAGCAATGTTGTAGAACTGCCTTTCCTGGATAATAAAGCCTCTTCTGGTCAAGAAATGCTAAAGTGCCTCTTACTTTATTTAAGTGTTACTTACAAGGCAAGCTGTGAAACCACAGAATTTGGGAGTTAGTTTTTCATCACCATCATCTTCTGCATTCCTAAGTGTCTTAACCAAGGCACAGCCTGCTCATACTTGCCCATTGATACTCTGTATACTGAGCATTCTAAAAGCTATTAGTGTACCTTGCCTATAAGAAGCACAGAAAGCAATTAAATATGAAATTTGACATAATTCCTCCAATTTCCATGAGTTAAACTACTGTACTGAAGTATTTCCCCATGTTGACTTTTAATAATAGTAGTTAAAATGGTGAATTTTCTCTTCCCTTTTCCCCCAGTAGTTAATGAAAACCCACTTCCCAGATAGAAAGAGTGCAGCATTTGCACAGTTAAACTGCAGCTGTTTCTCATATGAGTGAGCTCCCAAGATGTTATGAGGGATTTGAACCCTGGGAGGAGTCAGGCACAGAAGGAGAAAGCTCTGTCTCAAGTTATTTCCTGTCTTTCCAGTTATTAGAAAATGCTATAAAAATTATAAGAAACTTTTCATTAATGTTTCTTTATGTTGTTCTTTATGTGTTCTGTCCTGTTTTTTTTTTTTATTTCAAGAATTTTAAATAAATGTGGGTTTTTTTGTGTTTTTTAAAAAGAGAGCAGAAAATGACACACAAGTATGTTAACGAATAATTTTGTTCACCATATAAATGACATGCACTTTATAAAATGAGAGACTTTTCAAACAGTATGCAGCCATTGCCATCTATCTGCAACAGAACAGAACTAGGAAAAAACAAATTAGATGACTTCTCCCTATTTCCACTGCTTTAGTATTTTAAGTGCAATTTCCTAAGACAAAAAGGCTGATGTTATCACACTCCCTATCTGTCTCTCCTCAATTTTGAACCCATTGCCAATTTCAAATAAATTTAATGGAAAAGGGGAGTCTTCAAAGGTAACTAAGTCCCCCTAGACTGAGCTGAAGAGTACAGTGAAAGAAACTGAAATACATATATATCAAATTTGTGATAAGCTTTACCACTGTTAGATTTCACTTTTCCTTTAGTTGAACACAGGGAGGAAGCTGTAAATCTGTGCTCAGAGGAGTAAGAAATAGCCAGAAGTAGAAATGTGAAGCACAGCCCTTGTTCCCTGTGTTACAAGGAGGAAGGGAAAGGCATCAGGCGGAGAAGGCAGAGAGATGGGATGAGAGTCGTCCCTCTTGGTTTATACTCATTTGCCAGCATGGGAAGGGCTCATTCCTGAGTGACATATCCTATAGCTCTGAAACTTAGTTGAGCTCTAACTTCAAGCAATCAAGAGTGATTTCCCTTTTACAGAGCATCACATATAATAGTTGGCTTTGTGAAGTGAAATTTTACTGCAAAAGAAGTGTCATTGTAGAAACTAATGATGGAAAAAGCTTTTTCTCCCCCTCCTTCCTCTCCCACCCCAGTCAGTTAAAGTTCTGCAATGAACACTTAGCACTGCTTTGCTGTGTGCTTGTAAGAGGACAGAAAAAATGAGTCCCCAGCATTTCCATTTAGTATGCTAAGGGCCAGTATGGCCAGTAATAGCACCCACCCTGGCTTCACAAGTTTTGCACTCTGTTATCAGCTGTCTTTCTTCCTTTGTCTTCCATTTAATTATGCCAAATGCCTCAATATAGCCCAAGGAATTACTTGGGGAAAACAAGTGCTAATGATGCCAGAATCAGCTTTGGTTGTGGCTTTTGGGTTTCTTTGTTTGTTTGGTATTTAATATAAAGCATAGATCACAGGTGGGAAGGCTGATAGCTGGCTGTCTGCCCCCAGAGGGCACTGATATTCAGAACATCTCAGAATAGCTCTGTTGAGGTGTATATTGTCTCAGTGCTTGCTAATGTATTGGAGATGCCTTCAGTTTGACACCTACAACCTCCTCGGCATTTATCTTGTATGTAAGCCCCAATAACATCAGTAGAAGAATTCTTTCACCAGCCTAAGAGTGGAACCAAATCAGATCTGTGTATTCAAGCTGCCTCTAACTCTCCTCGCTCAGCAGTTAGTGTCTTTTTAATAAAGAAATTCAGCACAAAACTCATCTCTAATAAGGCAGACTGGTACTAACTGGATGTTTCTGCCTTATGCCAGCATTAAAAGCCCAAAATGAGCTCTTTTTTTGTCAGCTATTTCAGAGGTCTGAACAAAAAGCAACACATAATAGCAAGAAAGGGGGAAAATAAAAGAAAACCCAAGCCAAACAGTGTATTTTAGATAGTGCTTAAGACAGGGAGTGAGTGGCAAAGTGGAAGAAAATTGATATTCTGAGGGAAGGGGACAATGCATGATGGGAGCACCAAGTCAAAGGAGGATCTATTTGGAAGGACAAAGGTTTCCAGGATGCAAAGCTGAAGGACATCAGAGTGCTGGGCAATCTCTGTCATTCCTACCAACAGCAGAAAGTATCTTTGGAAGAAAAAAATAAAGTGGAAGCAATGAGAGAAGGATTGAAAATGTTCCAGTGAATTTGTAAGCCATTTGCATGAAGTTTGTTGCTGCCACACTCTCCCAGAGACAGTTTCCACCTCAGGGACTCCTCAGTGCTTATGCCAGCACATGCAGGACAGACCCTTGAACACAGCAAAATTGGTTCCCAGCCAGCAACACAGCTGTTTGCTGGTTACCAGCTGTCTCTGCATGAATATGGTTATTATTAATAGATTACAAGTTCAGTAGGTGACTTCCACACAGAGTACAATGGTCTATGAAAATGCTCTCCCAGATCCACAACAGACAAAAGTTTGGAGTCTCACATTGACAGCATTCACCAATCATTTTCTGAGCATAGATTTTTATTTAAAGACATCCTCTAGTTTCTCGCAGCCCAAGTTTCTCCAGTTTGCTTGGCAGCGTATAATATAGGAGAGCTTTGTTAAAAACCAAGCAAGATGTTCAATATTCACTGTTTATTAACCCCCACCCCTGATTTTCTACATCTCCCTTCTCTGGATAAGCTGCTCTGTGACAGACGAAAATTGCAAATTCTCTCACAAAGTTGCTACCGTTAAAGGAGATCTCCCAGGGACACATTAAGCATCTTCACTCTCAGGTAATAGCTACACAGAACTCTTGGGAGTTATTCAGCCCTTGTGGCAGGCACAAACCTAAGTAGCTGGAGAACTCAGTCAGTCTATTCACCTTTTCTATTCTGTGCATGCATCTCTGATGAAAAAATACACATATGGCTTACAATGATTAGAAGTTCACAGTGAAAAATAAAACTAGTATCACTTGCATTGAGCCAGGTGTACGAAGAAATATAAAAGCATCCAGTTGGTGGATTTTTAAAATGCTTTGGGGCCATTCAGTCATTTTTCAATTTTAAAAGTGTTTAAATGCATCTGGACACTTTTCTCAAGTATCTGCTCCCTGTGTCCCCTTATAGCATTCTACATATGTCAATGCGCCTGTAGGTCAAAAATAAATGTGAGTGGTTTAGAGGACAGTTTAAGGTTAATCTACCTACTAGCAAACCAATCCATTTCTTCCATTAGGTGACATTGCTCTTGGGACTCCCACCTTTGAAAGTTGCTTTTTTTTGGCTGATAAAATAAAAACCCCATGTGATTAGACCTGTGCATACAATGTTGGGCATAAGAGTCTGTAAATTAGCTTAGGAATTTTGCTTCTGGGGCAAGCAGGGGCTATAGAAGATGGGACATTTATCTGCTTTAGCCCCTGGGCAGAAAGGAAGAATCTAGAAGGTTTTGCCCTATATCACCGTTTTGCATTTCCTTGCAGCTGCAGTATGGAGCAGCTTGCTTTTCCTAGAGCAGCGTGAGCTTGTTACACCCTATGGCAGAGAAAGGGTTATACTTTGGAAATCAGAGTCCAAATCAGGAAAGTTAGAGGCACCAAAACTTCTGGGACTTAATTCATGTGAGTTACTTGGGGTTACAAAACAGGTTTTCTGGCAGGAGGTTTGTAAGGGAACAGGTGGGAGGATGAATGGGGCCAAACGTGATCATTAGAAACCTCTGTCCTAAAAAGAAAAAAATAAAGGAAAGAAAAAGGAAGAAGAAAATTAACAGGAAATAGAAAAATTCCTCTTCTTGAGGTAGTTTAATTTACTCCTTCTAAAAAAGTGGGAAAAAAAAAGAAAAAGAGCCTAGAGCAAATAACCTACCATAGGCTTGAAGTAACAGCAAATAACTTCCATACGGATATAATATCACATAATTGCTGAAGCAACAATTAATGGTTCTTTATGCAATACTTCAAAACATTTTTTTAATTAAAAGCATTTCTTTTTACAAGTTATTTTCCTTTTCCCTTTCAAATCACTTGGCTTCTTCACAACCTTTAGTGAGAGCCATAAATCCAATTTGTTTTCATCTGGCAACAAAGAGAAGCTGCAAAAAGGAAAACCTTCCTTCTGTGAGGAGATTGGAAAGTTGCTCCTTGATAAGAGTTAATATAGAGAAATGACCCAAATACTTGAAAATCTCCTCCAAAATACAGCAGATTACCATAGATTCTCATAAGGCTCAGCCCAGTATCCTAATGCTGTTGAATTCCACTTACCTGAGGCTTGGTGCTCCTACCTGAACCCAAGCAAAGGCTTCGTTCACATGCCCTGCAGGTGTGAGCTCCACAAAATTTTACTCCATTGTTCTATCCTGTCTGTAACATGTTCCTGCCTTCTTGGAGCACACAAGGCTTCCTTTAGGAGCCATAGCATTATGGCTTGTAATCAGATATTTGCAGCACCAGGTATGAAGCCTCAAAACTCCCACTGATGTGTGCCAGGAAATGTGCAGTTAGTGGATCCAGAAGGGCATATGCTATCCCATGCCATTTGGATTATGCTTTGCTCTGTGAAGGAATAGCATTATATTCACAGTGGGAATGAACATGAAGTGAAACTTCTCTCAGCTGGTCAGGACAATGTCCTAAAAGGAATTAGGGTGTTTAAGCATCACAGGACAAAATGTACAACTCATAGTCACCACTGTGCAATCCTTCCATTTGAATAGGGAAGAAGCCACAATTTACGACTCAAAATATGCCAGCTGCAGAAAGAAAAGCAACACTGGCACATCCCAGTTGATCCCAATATTGTGGCACTGGCACAGGTCACAAAGAGAGCTGCAGAGAATGCTACCCCGCTATATGTGGCCTCTGGTTTGAAGGCCCAAAATCTTCCTACTTCAGAAGATCTGCCCCTTTCTAAGACCTACAGAAAGACAAGGGTCATACTTCCTACTGTAAAAAGACTAATAACTATAACCTTTTCTTAGCTCATTCTTACATTGTTTTTCCTTGATTATGCTATGCAGTCATTTCAGTGGTAAAGAGAGTGAGCAGGGTGAGCTGCCAGAACACTGCAGGCACCAGCAAATCGCCTGTGGCTGTGTCAGAGACTGTATGAGAACATCTGGAACAGCCTGCCAGCTGCTCTGAATTGTGCTTGGACACAAATATCACTAGAAAGCAAGCAGTAGTCTTCTTCGCTGATCCTAGGGAGGTGCTAAAGGTGGAATTTCTTTGCATGGCATTTCATTTTCAGCATAACGTAATACTATGTAAGATATGAACAAGTAAAAAGTCAAGGCAATACTAGATGAAAATACAATGATAAGAAATGTCAGCTGTTTTCCTGGTGTTTGGTTAATAGGGCAGGACTGTTTTGACTTAAATTAGATTCAAATCCCTTTGGATTTGATGGCATTGTGTCTCAAGCATTTTCCTCTAAGATGAAAAAATACTACTTTTTCCAAATGCAGTAAAAAGATTTCTAGTATTGTCCCATGGACATCCAATTGTGTCTTTGAAAGTACTGGAAGGACAAAGACATTAAAAAAAGAGTGGAAAGATGCCACATTGTGTATTCACAAGGTTAGGGTAATTAAAGCAAGAATTTTTGGTCATGCCAGGTGTCCTCAGACCTGTGTATTCAGGGCTTTGGAAGAAAGGAGTAGGGAGTTAAACACAATATATATAAATTCAATCCCTTATGTGGATATACTCCAGGTTTAGATATTTTTGGAAGAAAGAATAGAACTGAGATTAAAGAGTATCTGCAGAAGAGTAACACTGAAACTCAGCAGTTTCCTTACAGATTTTGGATCCCAAATACAAACTTGTGTCAAATGAAATGCTTGGCTGAGGTGTTAGTTGGACAGGATCTAAAGAATCAGAAACTGTGATGTATGAATAAAGAAACAGATTACAGACTCACAATGTTAATTGCCAAGGCCTCCGGTTACCATTCTTCATGTTCTGATGTATACCGTAGATTTATAATGGCCAAGGGCCTGATTCTCATTTATGTCACCCAACAGTATAAAATGAAATGACAGCAGAATAAAGGGATGTGAATGCAAGTGAGAATCTGGCCAAATACCTGTCTTTTGAAGTTTTGGCTGGCACCCAGAAGTAATCTGGAGACTGAATCTTCCTGGTTATTATCCAGTTGCTGTAACCCAGATGTGCTCAAACAGGGGCACAAGCCTCCAGCTAGGAGAATAAGAGTCCCCAAAGGGGTGGCAAGCTTGGCAAAAATTCATTGATCAAGTTGGTGTTCAGCTGGTGAGCCAGAGGAGTGGGGATCAGGGCCAGGTGTGGGTATGATCACAAGCAGCGTGGTGCTGTAATCCTTGGGCTGGTCTTCATCTCCTTACAAGAAATCAGAGGCGATCTGAAAAAACAATCTAAAGTCCACATTTCTCCTTGGGACGGCTGGTCTTCAGAAAGCACTGGAACCAAGCTGCATCACATGATGAACTCATCAAAAAAGACTTTTATAGAAGCCAGTCTAAAAGGTACAGTGAAAGGTTCCCAAACAAAATTGCTGCATATTATGTTATGCAACAGGCTTTACAATAATTGCTTGTTCAAAAGCTGTTTTTCTTTTCCCTGTCTCTCCTACTGGATCATTCAATCTTCCAATTTCAGATATTAGCTGCACATACGTAGTACTGTCTTCCTCTCTCTGGAAAGCAGAGTCTTTTCTTCAAGGTAAACTTTTATGGACTAAAACCCACTGTGAGCTCATAACTCTAATTGATACAGCTCACATTACCCGTCTGCATGACCAGACAAATACACAAGTTTTACATGCTCTATCTGGCTTGTATTTTGGATCTGAAGAAGGGCCCACATGTACCAAAACTTACCTATGTTTCCAACTATATCCAGGGCTGTGACGAAAGATACTAGTTCTCTGTACAAATCTTCATTTAAATCATTAGGTCACCTCAGCAAAGCAAGATGTTTATTAGTGTTCTTGTATATCTCTGTTTTTCTAGGAAGAGTGCTTTAAGCCTTTCAAAGAAAGCTGTGTGATTTCTGCTGGGCTATCTTAGGCACTTCAACTCAGCTTTTTCCGTCCATGCAGTGTCTGAAGAGCACTCCCTGCTGTCTTCATCAAAGTATTTGCTTTGCAAGGCGAAGTTTTGGTAGCTGGGGGCAACAGGGGTGGCTTCTGTGAGAAACTACTAGAAGATTCTCTATGTCCCATAAAGCAAATGCCAGCTGGATCCAAGACAGACTCACCACTGGCTAAGGCTGTGCCCAACAGAGATGGTGATGGTGCTTCTAGGATAGCATAGTAAAGAAGGGGGAAAACCCCAGTGGGACATGTCAGCTGGAGAGAGGAGTGAGAATATGTGAAAGCAACAGCTCTGCAGACACCAAGGTCAGTGCAGAAAGAGAGAGAAGGTGCTCCAAATGCTGGAGCAGAGATTCTCCTGCAGACCATGGTGCAGACCATGGTGAGGCAGCTGTGCCCCTGCAGCCCATGGAGGTCCATGGTGGAGCAGATTCACCTGCAGCCCAGGGAGGACCCCACACTGGAGCAGGGGGATGCCTCCTGAAAGAATCTGTGACTCCCTGGGAAGCCCACGCTGGACCAGGCTTCTGGCAGGACTTGTGGATTATGGAGAGAGGAGCCCACGCTGGAACAGGTTTGCTGGCAGGAGCTGTGACCCATGGGGTACCCACGCTGGAGCAGTCTGTGAAGAACTGCTGCCTGTGGGAAGGACTCATGTTGGAGAAGCCCTTGCAGGACTGTCTTCTGTGGGAGCAAGGGAAGAGTGCGAGGAGTCATCCCCTGAGGAGGAAGGAGTGGCAGAAACAACATGTGATGAACTGATCACATCCCCCGTTCCCCATCTCCCTGCACCACTGCGGGGAAGGAGTTAGAGAAAACTGAGAGTGAAAATAAAGCTGGGAAGAAGGGAGGGATGGGAAGAAGGTGTTTTTAGGATTTTATTTTATTTTTTATTACCCTACTCTGATTTTATTAGCAATAAATTAAACTGATTTCCCCAAGTTGAGTCTGTTTTGCCCGTGGTAATTGGTGGCAATTGATGAGTGACCTCTATCTCTCCGTATCTCAACCCACAACCCTTTCATTATATCTTCTCTCCCCCATCCATTTTTGGAGGGGAGTGACAGAGCAACTTTGGTGGGCACCTTGTGCCCAGCCAGGGTCAATCGACCACATTCACAATCAGAGAGGCTGCGCAATGATACAGTTGTCTTTCCAAGGGTAATGCCACAAGGCGAAGACAGAAGGAGACCTGAGTGCTGAGCCATGTCTGGATGTCCTGGCTTGTCTGGGTCAGAGTCCCAGCTCCAACTGGTACACTGTACACAAGACCAATAACAGCAAACATCAGCCCATGTATGTATATCAAAGCTCACTGCAAATTTATTTCTCAGTTAGCAATAAGTAAGAAAAGCAGTGGACATAACAAAATAGTCTGGCAATTAAAGCATTTGTCTGCTCTCCTTATGTCCATTCCTGTGACTATTCTGTCATCATTTGCCATGGTGACACACACTGTAATGTGAAGCACTTCACCTTAAGGTCTGTGTTTCCAATTTGTCTATTTGCTTATTTCCCAATTTTGTGCCCAGATAGTTTTAGTAATGACAAATTAATATCAGCAAACCTTGTAAGGGAGCAAGTATATAAGGTCTATGGACTAAATTGGCATCTTGATATGTTATTAATGACCATAAAATCCTTTAATCTCATGTTGAAGGAGAGCATATGGCAACCACAATGCTTAAGTTTTCTTTGAATTAAAGGAACAAATTAATACATGTGTCCAAGGGTGACTGATTGGAATTCCCAGCACTAGCTGTAGTGGCTGCAAATGTTCAGAAAAAAATAAGCCATGAGTTTTGAGCAGAAAAGCACAGACCTTATCTCTTAAAGAAGTAGCTTTATGAGTTACTTCTCACAGACTGCACTGAATAGCCACTGTCTTGAAGGACATACAGCCTTACTTTTAGGATGCCACTTTGACACTCAGTAGACCTAACATAATGGAAGACTGAGGAAAACTCCTCTTACAGTCCAGCAAGAGCAGGTGAGTATCTTGGGTGGGATTTTGTGATTGCTATTAGAATACGATATGCAATGTCGAATGCTTTTCCATAACCTATGATAGCACGGCTACAATTTCAAGTGTTCGCAGCACAGTTGGTGTACTTCATGGCATACTAAAGGCCATCTATCCACAGCTCCAAAGGAGAAAAAACATACTGTGTTCTTGCTGCATTTGTTCTAGCAAAAGTCTATAAAGAGAAAGCAGATGGCAATGGTACTGACAGTTCAACAGTTTCTTCCACAATGCTCACTAAGCAAACACGAATAAGATAAATATGCAGAAAAGTTATTTTCAAAAACTACTTCTTAATTAATGTAAGAAATTTGTCCTTAATCTGGAAACAGATGAAACACATGAAACATGGAATATATGCAACAGGACTTCTTTTTTTGAAAGTCCTGAGGGTCTGAACGAAAGCCCATTTTAGTCGGCAGGAATCTCCTCAGTGACTGGTGTGTTCACTCTAACAGATTTTATTTTGGGGGTTGTGCAACCACAGACTACTGGTTTGACCATCTTTACCTTTTTATTGATTATAAATTGACTATGGATATCATTGGGTGGTAGACAACTATATATTCATAGTTTATTTATTATGACTCAAAGGACCATCTAGAAAATTCAAACATTCTTAAATAATAGAGAAATACTAATCTTGGGGTTTGGCCATGGCCCAGCTCTTGTTTACAGGGGACTATCACATACAGAGAGCTGGACTCTGCTCTCATGTTCAGAGGCGTAAAAGAGCAGGACTTCTGTTGTTTGCTTTAGGGTAAGATCTACATTCCTAGCAAGAGTTGAATGAGTACATATGACAAGTTTAGTAACCATTGAAGAAGACTCAGAATAACAGAAAATTAATGTTTTTGGCAACAATTTATGTCTAAGTTATAATACGCAAAAGTAAGCTTACAAGGTGGCAGAACATGTATTTTGATTTTCAGTCCTCCCACTTCCATGTAGTTTCGTAGATAGTTGTCCTGCACTAACTACTACGATTCCAGCCACTCCTGCACCTGTGTAGTGTGGTTGTATATTATCTCCGCATGCAGACAATTTGCAAGTTTTATATCCTGATCTTAAATAAAATTAAGATTGTTGGGAAGTCCTATCCTCTCTAGCTACTGGAATGTCTTCCCCCACCTCCCCCCAGCATTTGCATTATCAAGAAAACTGGGCATAGACTTGCATGATGAAAGGAAGCAAAGAAACAAATGAAAAGTTGCCTAAAATAGCTTTACATTCACTCAGTCTTTATCTCCTCTTTTTTGATGTGGTTCAGTAATGAAGAAACTCAGGTGAAAAACTCTGCATCATAATTAACATGGGATCATTGTGGATGGAAATCTTCAGGGAGTCATCTGCCCCAAGGGAAAAACAACTATATTTACGGTATTTATATTGTCAACAGTTGTTAAAACCTCTAATGATGAAGACTGAATACCCTTCCTAGACAAGTCTGTACCGTTAGATTTTTCTTACCATTAGTAAATGTCTCCTAAGATGAAACCAGAATCTTGTGTATTGTATTTTAAGCCCTTTATAGCTTGTTGTATCCTGTGCTGTCATGAAGAATAGATTAGTCTCTTTCTCTTGGAAACAAGCTTCTAAGACTTGTCCTTCCTTTTCCCTCCTACTCCCAAGCTTCTCTTCTTTAGCTTGATAACCTTGGTTCTGTTTATCCTTCCTCATGGGTTATGCTGTCTGGTCCTTTGATCGCTGTTGGTGTTTTCTTCCAGCTGGCCTGCATCATTCTAAAAATACAGTGCCATGACTGGGGACAAAAATATCTCCTTATCACAAAGTGAAACAGAAAGATCAGTTCATCATTTTATTTCTAACTCCGTGCTTCAGATGCTTTTATTTTTTTTTTTTGCAACAGCATGAAATGCTCAGCTCCCTCAAATTACTACTTCATTGTTTCCTAACCTCTGCTTGTATAGGTGAATGGTTCTGCCAAAGAGAAATACCTTATTGTTCCTTTGAGTTTTGCCCTATCGTTATCTTCATTATTTCTGCAGCTTCAAGATAATTTTTCAAACCTGTTCTCCAGTGTACCTGTAGAATTCATATCATCTGCAAATTAATAAGCACACTCAATATTCCTTCACAGAGGTAGAAATGAAAAATACTGAACGGAATAAGACCTCAGGGAAAAGCCTGCTAAATATTCTGCATCAGCTTCTTTTTTTAACAGTGAACCTTTGATAACAGCTCTGTGAGGGCATTTTTCAAACAGTTCTGTGTCTCATACAAGTCCCATAAGAATCATACCCTTCCAGTTAA